CTCGTCGTCTAGTCCCTCGTAGGAGGCACTCAGTGTTTCCACCGTGCACTCAAACAATGCTCTACTGAAACCTTATTTGGGGCAATTCGAGGAAGCCCCCTTTTTAACCCTTTTATAATTTCTCGCTCCTGACTCTATACATATTCTGAAATCACTGTCACCTACTAACATGTAGCATGCCTCTAATGCAAACACTTTAAACATCCGGATGAAAGTCGCAAGTTAGTCTTCCACACTTCTTCTCTCAGGCCAGTCCCCTTGCCGTGATTCTTTGTGAAATCTGTCGAAGGTTGTGTGTTCGGGTGTCTATGTGAGTATACGAAGGCGACAGGCTAATTGGATTTCGATTATGAGAGAGATATTCAGCTGTCAGTGGGTAATTGCCTTTTGCCACCCCGTTGTCGACGCTAGCACACAGACGGAGAAAACGCGGCTCGGCCTGGATTCCGTCGTTGTCACTGCTAGTGCTGATTCGTTTTTGTAATCGAAACGCGAACAGATAGCAACTTGGCATCGTGCCGAATTATTTCTCAATCCACCGTGGCAGTTCTCCATACCTAGTAGGTCCCCTTGGAGAAGGCGTGGGTAAGCTGTATGATGTGCTCTACCTGATTCATGTGATTACCTATTGATTAGAGAAGTGGAAGAATTCAGAGATGGGATAGGAGTAAGGAGGGGGGAGGGGTGCGGGGTGAGAGAGAGAAAGGTTTGACATCCTTCCATTGCTCCATTTTGACCATACCACCCACCGACCCCGACCAGAACTATGTGCAAAAGGTTTCGGCAAAGAAGAATGTCACAGAAACAAATAGCTTTTGCTATCATGGCTGTTGGAGGCGTGCTAAAAACTTGCTCAGAATAAACTCATTTGGACTCTGAGCCTGTATAACAAACAGGGGACCTCCATTTTTGCCCACTCTTGCACAGAAATGATCTGTTTTGTGCTAAGCTCGGAATCACAGCATCCTATCTGCGTTCAGCCCTCCCCCCTCCTCCACCCTGAACGACAAAAGTTTTGAGAAAATTTGAAAATCCAGCAGTTGCTTATGGCAGATAAGGACGGGAAAGGGGGTTTTCTCCTCTGGGCGCACCAGAGGAGAAAATCTGAGTGGGGTCGTGTTTTGCAGGAATGCTTCACAACGTGATGGTGTGCCCGCTTCTATTTCATGCACAAAAGCTATGCGCAACCATACCAGATACATCGCCGTGACATACATAGTCGACTGCATTTCATCTGCACGAATAGTTTATCAATCGAAATTACAACAGAAAAAGTAAAATCAATAAACAGAACCAGATGTGATGTGCACTGTGTGCGCGTCGTTGATTTTTGTATGTATATATATGCCACAATTGACCTATGTAAAGACACTTGAACAAGGATAGATAGAGAATCGCCGAAACGCGCACACATACGCTCAAAATCAATCAATAAATCGATCAGTCAAGCAAGGATATGAATAGGATATACACATATTAGACGTGTTTCACTGCGCGGGCGGACGAGTTGCAAGGTGATCGCGGACGAGTTGTCGCCCTGCGCAGCCGGAAACTTGATGCATCTCATTTGTCAAACTGCCAACAAACATGAAAATACAAGCGAAAAACCGGAGGCGAGAGGAATCGAGAGACCTCCAGAAACTTTTTTTCTGTTAAAAACGATTTTTTTTTCAAGCTTTCCAATATGATATACTATTTGTGCACGAAGAGTGAAAGCTGGCTAGCAGGCCTTATCACTACCTAGTAACCACAGTTACAATATCAGACATACAATAATCGATTGGTCGAAATATTACGCGCGTAAATCACAGAAATCGATAATGTGTGTGGAGAAATCGTCGATGAACATAGCTGATATACTTGATTCTCAAGGAAGAAAAATCATCAAAATCAAGATCATACAATCAATCGTGTCTAATTATTTATGAATTGATAAATTGAATTACGGAGAATAATAGGTACGGCACAGTGGATCCGAAGAGAAGGGACCCAGGCATCTCGACGAATTGACAACGATTACGGTAGACAGCGATACGGAGTACGGTAGTCGTCAAGCTCAATACTGCGGGTGATAGTCGTGTGCTTGCGGCTTCTGTTCCATCAAAGCACTGAAAGCGGAAATAATCACCTTATTTACCGACTGAATTAATCATTGTATCGTTTAGAAAATAACTCTATTTTATAAGTAGAAAGGGAAAAAATAGGTACTCAGGCTCAGTCACACTTCTCGATCCTATCGCTTGGATCGCGCGATCGGATCGCGAAGTATGGTCACAAGCAATGAAGCTTTTTATAAAAAAGAAATCCCAGCCTGAGCGGAGTCACTGACCCTTCTTCACTGGAAAGAACCCTTTTTTCGAATGCGATGAAGAAGAAAAACCCGCCAATGAGCAAGGCAGAATGGTGGGCCTGATCCCGCCCACATGATTCTCGTGGACAGCAACAATGAACGGTACTCGTTCATCTTCAGGAGTAGAGTCAGTCAGGATCTTGTCAGGATGGAAAATCTTGAAAGTTCATTAACCAATCATTTTTCGGTTCGCTAAGGCCCAAAGGGTAAAGATAGAGGTCAGAGCGCTCATTATCAGGGAGGATGCCTTGAGTTGCGCCACGCATTTGACTTCTACTAATAATTGTGCGCGTTTTCCGTTAGAAATGGAGACGCCATGGAAAAACACATTTGACGATGAACATGAGGACGACCCAATGATAGTTCTGACTCCGCCTACACGATCGCTGTGGAGTGGGATTTTCTATAGTGGGACATTGTGTTCTTTTACATAGTGAGTTTGCAAGAGGTGCTGACTCTCGGACGAGTGAGCAAACCACCACACAACCCACCACACCACACCACACACCACACACACCACACCACACACCACACACACACACACACACACACACACACACACACACACACACACACACACCACACACACACACACACACACACCACACACACCACACACAACCACACACACCACCACACAGCACCAACACACCAACCACACACCCACCACAGCACACACACACACACACACACACACACACACACACACACACACACACACACACACACACACACACACACACACACACACACACACACACACACACACACACACACACACACACACACACACACACACACACACACACACACACACACCGCTTAGCGGATTATA